CCTGCCTTTGAGCATACATCTCCAAAAATTTTTTTCTGATTGTTTATTTACTAATTATACACACTATTATATTAGTTCATTATAAAACATACACAAAAGAAATTTTAAAATAACAGAAAAAATGTTATAAACCATGCTTTCAGGTTTCCTGCTAATTATGATGGCCCTATTCTATTATGAGCTGATATCAGCTGGTATGACTTGAAGATTTCATTAATAACATAGGATAAACATTCATAATTCAAATAGCTTTCTTGATAGTGTTTAGTACTTCAGCAGACTTGTTTGCAGACCCGATTAGATTAACACTGATTTTACTTTGTAATCTGGTTAAATAAAGGAGTAAGAAAAATGTTAGTTCTGCCATTTTCTATTCTTTGCATGAGCTTACACTATTAATACTCTAATTTGTAATTTTTGGCAGGAATCTTTTTAAGCCAATTGTCTAAATTGTCAATTGGCAAATATAAGCTATCTTATGTTGCAATACACTGAAAGCCAGTGAAGAAATGATGGTATGAGGGCCAACCACTTCACAGTGTAGAATTCCCAGTTTTCCCTGAGGATAACTCCAGCTCTGTTTGTAACCTGTGACCATCTTACGTATGGACCAGCGTCATTAGACATATTAACTCTCTAATGGAGGAGGATGAATATAGCTTTAGAAGTTCTGCCCACCCTTCTTTAGAGACCAATGTGTTGCATTTTTCATTTTCTAACTCAAGTAAATCATTGTTGGAGATTCTGGCAAGAGTATGAACAGTCATTTAAAGAGTATTTATACTACCTTTAGCAGTGGCCTCTCCACCTCCAACATATGCAATTTCCAGATGCCAACTCGGGTGTCTCACCCAGTAGCTAACAGAGGCTTAAGAGAATTCAATTTTATCTCAGCAGAGGGCGTCCCTTCCTTCTAGGAACGTGACAAGCCCTTAACAACGGGAGGCTATTTTAAGACCTGAGACTTGTGGAAGAAGGTCATGGGAGCAGTCTCCATGTCTGTGAGGGTTGAATGAAGCTCATTCATTGTCCAACCTAATATGCTCATTTCCTGGGGGAGCTGAAGTGCAGAGAAGTGCTCAGAATTCCATGGTTAGTTGATGACTAAACCAGCACCTGAATTCAGGCCTCCTACCCTCAGCCCGGGGCACTCTAACACTCATCACAGCCCTTGATGTGCACTTGTTAAGCAATAGTAAGGCTAGCTCATTTCCATTTAATGCAATTACTGATATATTTGACTTTTAAAATATCTTATTTCATCATTTCAATATGCCCTACCTCTTCAATGATTTTTTTTCTTTTGTCTTCTGACTTCTTTTGGATTGACTAAGATTTGTTTATCACTATTTCCTCCCTTTACTTTTTTGAAAGATTTACACTAATTATCTCTCGTTTTAGTGGTTAACTTACTCTTGTTTTAGTGGTTAGCTTAAACACTGTTTTTTTCCCCTATTTATTATTTTATTTTTACCCTTGCATTGTTAACCTATCCAAATCTAATATAAATACTGGTCTCTATTATTGGACTATACGATTCAGAAACATAAGAACACCTTAACCTCATTTATCTAGATCTCAACTCATTTGCTATTGTTGTCAAAATTTAAAATTCTATGCAATTTTTAAATTCCACAAGATACTTTTATTGCTTTTTTTTTTCGCTCTTCATTTCTTCTTGCATCTCAGACTTTCCATCTGGATCATTTTACTGCACCTTGAAATATATCTTTTAGAATTTCCCAAACTCTCTCATTTAAAAAAAGTCTTTATTCATATTTATTCTTGATATATACTATATAAGATATAGTCTACTATATATGTTTACTGGGAATAGAACTCTAAGCAGGAAATTGTTTTCCTTTAGCATATTAACAATACCATATTATGTCCTCTGATGTCCATTATTGATTTTTAGAAGTCAGCTATCAATTTAACTTTATGTCTTTGAAGGTAATATGTACTTTTCCCTTGGCTGCTTTTAGTATGTGATATATATATACAGTTCCGTTTCTTTGGGTCCTTATGGTTTTACTATGATGTGTCTAAGAATGCTATGTAGATGTACTGTATAGAATCCATGGATTGATTTCTTTCATTAGTTCTGAATATTCTCATCTATTACATCTTAAAATATCACCTTTGGCTCTCTCTGTTCTTCAAACAAGAGTCTCTCTCTCTCTTCTTCTGACATAGTAAGGTGGTTTTATAATTTGTGGCTAGTGATTCCAACAGACATTTTCCCCAGTAAATGTTTAGAGGCCTATTTGGGTTGTTTATTGTTTATGCCGATACTTGCTCAATATGGTTCGTTTCCCTGTATGACTGGCAAATTTTGACAATGTGTTTGACATTATATTTTAAATAATATTTGTAAGAAAAATTTGAGGCTTAGCATCTTCTTCCAAACAAGATTTTCATTTGCCTCTTCCAGACACCTGAAGTGCTACCAGTCCGGATGCATCTCAAACCAAGTTCAAGGCTTGAGGTTCCCTGGACCACCCAAAGCCAGAAAGAAATACTTTGCAGGGATTGATTTACTTGTGCTTCACGTTACCTGAAGCTGTAATTCATTGGGATCCCAGTTTAAAGTAGAGGTGGTTTATTAGAATTCCCACTTCTGGTAGGTTGCAAGTCTTGCTTTTACTCCCTAGCCCTAGGAATTTGTCAAAAATAAAGCTCAGTTTTGCAGCTGTTTCTTTAGGGTTGGCATATACCTCTAAAGCAAAATCAGATATGAATGTCAGTCTTAGTCTCTGGGTTCTCCTGGTCTAGATTTCAGCTTTTAAACTCCTCACTATCCTGTCAACATTTTGATGCTTTTAAGAAGATGTTTCTAATATTTCATCCAGTTATTTAGGTTTCCTTAGTGAGAGGGTTGGTCCAAATTTCCTAGTCATCGATCATTGCGAATAGAAGTTACGACTTATCTATTCATCAAAGGAAAGGAAATTTTCCATAACTTCGATTTCTACTTCATGTTGATCTATTGTTAGTCCCAAAAAGCACTTTACCCATGCCAAGGATGTAATATATCCCACAGAACCAAAAATTATTACATGGCAGTCACCAAATCCTTTTAAAGAACCCAATCTGATATTAAATGGAATAGTTCATAAGACAATTTTAAGTCATGACTACTTCTGGCTTTTGGGATTCAGTATAGTAAACTTATATGCCATCAACTCATAAAAAATAATAGAAGATCCAGTGATCCATGTGTAATATACACATATAATACCATATCCTACTAAGGACACTTGTTCTTCCCACTAAATGAAAACCTCTTCTCCTTCTTTTGCCTCTTTCAGATGTTTTCTCCATCCTCACCTTCTTAATGCGGCCTTCCCTAAACATCTTATTTGAAATTGCAAACTCCTCCTCATTCCCACACTTTTAATCTCCTCTCATTCTTTTCTTTTCTCTATCATCTTCCACCATTATATATACTGTATATTATGTATCCTGGCTCTATTTATCACTGCCTCTCCAATCTTGATAAATCTTTATAACCTCTCAATTCCTTGGTTTCTCTAGATATAAAATAGGATTAAGAAAAGTATCCCACTATTCTTCATGTGGTTATTTCACAGGTGAGTGTGGTGATAGATCAGAAAGTGATTCTAAAAAACTATTTAAAAAAAGACAAATGAAAATTCTAGAATTGAAAGTTACGATATCTAAAAAAACCTTACTGATTGGGTTTAACAGTAAAATAGAGAGAACAGGAAAAAAAATCAGTGAACTTCAAAAGAATAGTTCAATATAAATGATCCAATATGAAGAACAGAGAGAAGAGAGATTGAAAAAAAAATGAGCAGATCTGCAGAAACCTGTGGATAATATCAAAAGGTCTGATATATGTGCAATTGGAATCACTGAAGGGGGAAAGGGAGAAAAATTGGGTAGTAAAGAATATTTTAAAAAATAGATGAAAAAATTTCCAAGTTTGGAGAAAGAGATAAATTTATAGATTTAGGTTAGAGAGCAAACTCAACACAAAATAGATTCACATACACACTCGTGCACGCATGCACGCACACACATACACATATACACATGCATATCAGAGTCAAAATGCTAAAAATCAAAGTCAAGGAGAAAAATCTTGAAAGAGTCCAAAGGATTTTGTTACAGACTCATTCCACACCAAGTAAAATACTGCAACCAAGCTTAGTGAACCTGAAGTATTGGAGGAAAGTTTTCAGTGGAGGAGAAGTTGCTTCTTTTCACTACATTACACATCCTGTGTTTGAGAAGCTCACTGACAAGTATCAGGTAAAATGGAGCTGAGTTACTAGAGAGGAGATTAGCAGCCCTTCATTTTTATTTTGGTTGGGTAAGGTCTTCTGGAAGAGACAGGATGCTGTGGGCTCCCTGGAAGACAGAACGATTTTGATACGAATAACTCTATAATCAGGGAAACAGAGATGTGAGATCCTCATGGTAAACTTGAAAATGGCCTGACAAGAAAGCATAGTGCTTCTTGGAGCCAGGGGAATTTTTGAAGAGAAATTAGAGGAAATAAATTTGGAGTAAATGGGGAAGAATTAGAAGATTTTGATTATTTGGTAGCCTTTGTTTCTTCAGCATGATTTTCTTTCTTTCTCTCATAATTTAGTCTATCCTTAGGGTGTGTAGGCCACATGAGCAAGTGCTTCGGAAATTAAGAAGGCAGATTCTTTCTCTTCTCTTTTACAAAGATATCGCAGCATTCTGGAGGTAGATGTAGAAAAATATGTTTTCCGGGCAGAGTTATGGCTCTGTTTTGGGAAATATGGCCTCTTTAGTTCATAGAAGACGATTGTAATGATTGAAAATGAATAAATAAAACCACCACATGAAAACCCAAAGTTTGTTACTTGTTGTAATTATATTTTCCATACTAGACTGAAAATAAGGTCATGATGTTTTCGTTTGTGATGTAAGCTTCTTTTCCTCTTTTTGTTCCCCCTTCTCTGCCCACCCATCCTCCATCCCTTACCATCTTTACGCTTTAGGATCAATATCCCCAAGTGAAGGGAGGAGTAGGCACAGTCGAAGAAATAGTTGAAGACTGGTTGCCTGACGTGGAAGCCAGGGCCCAGCGTCAGGTCCCACGGGTGCGCACTGGCGGGGAAAGGTACAAACGACAGCATCTCGACAAGTCTTCCAGAGTGTCTGCAACTCTTCCTGTAACCAAAGGCCTTTTCCTGTGTTTGAACTCTGCCACCAATGGCTGTCCTACCAAAGGTAAACAACAGCAGTCTAAGCAAACTGCTCTTTTTCCAAAAGAAAGCTTTTAAGTTTTCTTTTTGAGGCGGGAGGGGGTTGTTTAAGGACTGGGTGGTGGAGGAGAGGGAGGAGGTGAGACCAGAGGAAACACAAATGACCCTGAGCCCTGCCCTGTGTGTTTTTTCTTTCTTTTCTTTCTTTTTTTATTTTTTTTTTATTTTCACCTCCTTCATTATTTTTGGCTGGCTCCTTTGTGCGGGGCCACTTTCTATTCACTGACAGCTGCTTTGAACATCAGTCACGTCAGGTCATCTGCCAAGCTGTGCGCCTCAGGTCACATCGCTCTGAGGCCTCTGGTTAGTCAGCTTCAAAGTGCCTCACAAATGGTGACCTGCCTCCTCTGGGGTGACTGTTAAAAGAAGGGGAAGCCTGGACAGCTCGTGACTTAAATCTAGAATTAAATCTGGAAGCTCCTATCTCATTTTACAGAAGAGCATAGAACCAAAGAAGATCTGTGAAGCCCACTGCCAGGCCTTGTGGCCAGTAAGTGGAAGGACGGGGGTCCAGGTCTGCTCACGTCTAGTCCCAAAGGGTTCTTCCTGGTCCTTGCATTTATTTTTATTTATTTATTTATTTTTTAATTTTTAACATTTTATTATTTTTATTTTTTCCCCCTCCCCTTTTCATCCTTCCCCCTGGTAAATGGTCCTTGCACTTAAAATCATGTTTCTCAAGGAGTCTTAGCTTCCTCCAGGGTGCCTCAGACATGATGACATTTGAGAGGGGATAGGGGAATGGAGCGGGGAAGAAAATGCCCAGTGGATGGTACTTTACCTTCTTCCTCCAAGGAAGGCTCTTCTCCTTGGTTTAGTTAATTGATTAATTCACTCATTCATTCATTCTGCAAATGTCTATTGAGCAACTTCCATGTGCTAGGTGACTTCCAGACATAGGAGATACAGCAATGAACCAGTGACACTTACATTCTGTTGTCTGTTTTAGTTTCTAAGTAAGATTATTTTTTGGTAAAAGGTTTATGTTAATTTTTTTTTTTTTGCTTTTAAAGAGAATCTTTCCAATATGTAGCTTTCCAGTACGTAACTGGTATTTATCAAACACTCGCAGCACCAAGTGGAGATTTTACCACCATATAAAGCAAACTAGCTACTGATCTTCTTACTCCTGGCAATTTAAAGTCTATCAAGAAAAGACACCTAAAAAGAGAACTTGCCCCAGACAGCATCACCTCCACTCACTGACAAATATGAGAGAGAAATAAGAAACAATTGATGGTATAGGTGGTCAGCTGAACCCATAGCCTGTTATATCCACGCCAGGGGTCACTGGCACATTCTCCTCTCAGGTAGTCCATGTAGGAGAGGATAGGTGTGGGAATACTCTAAAGTTGACCCTCTTGGTTTGGTGGTGGTATGGAGGTGGGCGTAGCAGTTAACAGCCTTGTTGAGTTTCAGGGTCAAACCGTAATTGCAACCAGCAAATATTCCTACCTGGGATTTTGATTTGAAAAGTTAAAGTCAAAAGTTGTAAATTAGCAGCTTCCTCAATGCTAATATATTAATTATCTCTTGGGGGTATAAAAAATTACCACAAAACCTAGTGGCTTAAAAAACCAAAAATTTATTATCTCACAGTTTCTATGGGTCAGGCATTCAGGAAGAGCTTAGCTTGGCGGTTTGGTTCAGGGTCTCTCCTGGGGTTGCTTTCAGAATGGGGCAGGGCTTGCAGTCGTCTGAAGGCTTGAAAGGGAAGCTGATCCATTGATAAAACCATGCACTCACAGGGCTGTTATAGGAGGTCTTAGTTTCTCTCCACGTGGCCCTTTCCACAGGTTTCTTAAGTGTCCTCATGACGTAGCAGCTAATTTCCCTCAAAGCAGGCCATCTGAGAGAACGTGAACAAGGAGGAAAGCTCAGTGCCTTTTGTGACCTGATCTCCTAAGTCACTCCCCATCGCTTCTTACCTTATTCTGTTTTTGGAACAAATTAACTCTAAGTGATTAGATCTCAAGGCTCCATCTCTCAAAGAGAGGGATATCAAAGAATTTAAAATATGTAGACATATTTTAAAACCATCAAATTTAGGTTCCTTTTGCATATAAAATCTATTTTTTTCTTGTAGAATCTTAAATTACATTTCATCCGGTAATATTTCACTATATATTTTTAAAGCGAAGCCTCCATGCCATTATTATACCCAATTCAAATTAATAATAATTCCTTAATATCTTTTTAAAACAATCTGGTTTTGATTCTAAAATTTTTAAATCAAGAGATTCCACATAAGAATCCAGATTTCTGTCTTATTTTTTTAAAAATAAGATGATCTAGTCACACTAGGCCCATGTTCTCACATGATCAGAAATCACTTTAAATGGGGCATGGACTCTTCAATTTGCCTTGCTCCTCACCACACCTTGTATTATACATGGGACACTGATTTGTGTTACCTGCTTGATCTACGTGCAATGAGAGTGAAGGGTCTGGCAATGAGGTTGAGGAAGGGAAAAGCCTGACCCCCAGTGTGAGTTGAATCTAAAAAGATTGGAAAATGAGACAGATTGCTGGTTTGCTTAGAGCAACAGCAACCTTGGGTCTCACATACAGGGCTATAGAGATAACAAGGATAACTGGGCATTAGTCAGTATGGTTTTAGAAGATTTGGTGTACAATCCTATGACAGAACTTGGCTCTGAGAGTATAGAGTCACGAACAGAACTAGCCATGAATCAGCCAACATGGATCAAGGCTCATGGCTATTTTCCTAGGACTTTGAAAGTCTCGGATCTGGTACAACCTAAGAAAACTGGGGAGAGTCATGAAAAATAATGATATAGAACTGTTAGCCAACTTTATCAAGGAGGGGGAATTTTAATCATATTTAATTCAATGTATAAAAATAAAGAGTTATTTCTTGCCCCTTTTTTTGTGTCACAGACATTTATGATCTTAGGATGCTTGGAGAGAGCCTGTAAGTAGAAGAAAAGGCTCTGGAGGAAGACTGTGAAAAGATGAGCTTTATGGAATTATGAGAGCGAATACTGGAGGAGAATGCTTGCTCACCTCTGGCCTGGTAATAAACCTACAGTTGCTTTTTAATACAACTACTGCCATTCTCCAACTTAAAAATGTTCATTTGCTTATATCGGGTATTTGGAGTTCAGAATGTATTTTCCTGCAGAAACTACATTTTCCTTGGTGATTAAGTCCACAGGCTAGTCCTTAAGACTCATAATATGCTATAACTAAATCTAACACTACCATGCAACCATGTATGATGGACTTTACTTAGCAAATTTCCGCCTGGGTTCCAACATGGTATGCAACATTTTCTTCAACTCTAGTAGTTCAAACACAGTTCTACTTTATCCCTCAAACTCACTACCTCTGGGCTAGCTTTGAGGATGTCACTAGCTTTTCAGTAATAACACTGGGTATATGATAGAGGAAAGTGAACTCTGCGGGGTGAAAGTTAAGAAATTTAGGCATGGGGATATACCTTAGGACAGTGACAGCAAGGCAAGCAGACCAAGAGGTTGAGGTGGGGCAAAGGCAGTCAGGTTATCAGCTTTGGAGACTCTGGAAATTGGGGGTGAGGGTAGGGCATGGTAGAAGGTGTCGCCATTCTAAAGTATGAACTTTCATAAGCCAGTTGTTTGTGTGCCAGACACTGCCTGTATTCATTCTCCAACAGACACTTTTCATACAACATATCAGTATAGCACTCAAACCGTATCATCCCATGACCTCTCTAGGCAGTCTATCTCCCGATAGCCCTTACTGGCACAATCAGATTTAGACTAAACTTTACAACTCTTCATCTGATTCTACTCTTGCTCCTCCACAATCCATTTTTTTGCATAATAATCAAAATAGGCTTTTTTGAAATGTGAATCTGATCGTGTTCCTCTCCTGTGTAAAATCTTTAGTATTTTCCATTCATCTTACGATAAAGTTCAGAATCTGAACTTGGACCGACCAGGCTGCCCCTTACATAAACTGCTGCCTTCCCATCATTTCCAGGTGCGTGCTTGCTCATTCTTCAGGTCTAAGTTTACATGTCATTTACAAAGGTCTTCTCTGACTTTTTGTCTAGATTTGGTACCTGGTTATAAGCTCTCTTAACTCCCAGATTTCCTCTTCGGAGCACTGACCACAATAGTAATTGCTTAGGTATTCAGGTATGAATTATTTAATGCGTCACACCTCTACCAGGCAGTGAAATCCAGAAGCACATTAACCACACCTCGCATAGGGCCTTCTGGTCCATGAGACATGCTCACTAAATGATTGCAGAATGAGCCTTTGTGCCACACATTTTTTACCTTTTATATTATAAAAGATGTTGTTCTCCAATTTGAGAGACCATTCACTGAGTTTTTACTGTATGACAAGCACTGTTTCTTTAGAGGGCAGGGCAAGTTAGCTTCATGGTTAAAAATTAGGGCTCTAAGCCAGAATTCCTTGGGTCTGAAATCTTACTAATTGTGTGATATTGGGGAAGTGCTATAACTTCTCCATGCCTCAGTTTCCTCATCTATAAAAGAGAGGAGGAGGTAAAGGACAATAATAGCACCTACTTCATAGGGCTATTACGACGATTAACTATTTTATGACCTGTAGAGTGCTTAGAATGGTGCCTGTCACATAGTAAGTATGTGAAAGCTGTTAGCTGTTCTTCTTTGTATTCTTTTCTCCTAATACTGTGAAAAATAGGTGTTAGATTATTATCTCCACTTGTTAAATGAGGAAACTAGATGCATGAAACAGACTTTCTTCAATAACTTGTTTAAATGAATCCTTCATATCAACTTTTCATGCTGAAAATAAGCTAAAAAGAAAGAAAAAAACAAATGGCCTCACATTTTGAGAGTTGAGACTTGGAGAATATTAGGGTTTGGCAAGATGAAGAGGATATATCAAAGAAACAAAGGAAGTGTCAAAGCAGTTTCAGGCCCGAGAATGGGCCATCTCTTCTGCACATTAATATAATGAAACTTAGCCTGTCCATGAGAAGAGATTTTCCACAGATTCTGGAAGGGACATGGAGAGCCAATGGAATGTGACTCAGAGCAGCAAGACCTAGCAACCTTCTCCAGGTTGCAGCAAGAAGTGAGAACAGTGACTTGCAACTCCTTCCAAAGCTCCTCAGAAGCTCTGCCAGCATCTACAAGAGCACCACCATGGCCTCAGACTGAATCCATTTGAAGTTTAAAAAATCCATGTATACCATGCATCCCACATGAGAGAAAATGGGTGCCAAAGGAAGTCAAACAAAAAGTTTGAATCATTAGAGTAGACGATCTTCCTGGAGAGAAGTGAGGCCTGCATCAGACTTTTAAAAAGACATCTTGCAGGAACAGCCCATTTGAAATGGCCCTGAACTAAAAACAACGCAGTGTTCATCTTCAGTAGAGTGGGTACATAAATTGTGGTATAGTCACAGAATGAAATACTCTCAAGCAACAAGAGTGAATGAACCACAACTACACTCAACAATAGAAATGAATCTCACAAATATAATACCAAGGCAGAGAAACCTGAAACAAAAAGGATAATCCGATGCCATCCGTTATGTAAATTCAAACCAGGTCATGTGTTTGTAGGTCAGGTGTGGGAATTAGGACCCTGTGACCTCTGAGGGAAGGTGGTAGCTGGAGAGTCAGAGTGGTTCTTCTATTTCTGTTACTCAGATGTGTTCATTTTGTGAAAGTTCACTGATACGTACACTTACATTTTGTTCTGAATATATTTTAATCCACACCTCACTCCACCACCTTCCATGATCAGGGGTCAAGTTAGTCCTGGGGCGAACGGATAACCTTAAGGTCCTGAATAATCAGAAACTGGAGAAGTACCAATTAGGATGCTTTAGAAGTGGGAAGCCATTTTGAGTAAAGCTTATATTTCTGTGGTTGGGAGTCTTGGGTCACTGTTTTGGTCTCACCTAATTATATACCTTGGTTTTTCTTCTTGTCCTCTAATCAACTCCCAGGGTCTTACAGCCTCCTCTCTCTGCTCAAATGATGTCTAAAATCCAACGCAATGTGTTGCTTACCTGAGGGGTCAGAAACCAGGCCATATTCCATTTCTACACATGTGTTTCCTCAGTTGTCTGCAGCATAAACCCCCATTTCCTTCACTTTCCGTAAGATTCTGAATAAGGCATGAGATAGTAGCTGGAGAGTAAGCTTCACCAGCTTGAGTGACCTGATGAGAAATGACTCCTGTGAAACCTAGTGGGAGGGACTTAGGAATTTCAGCTTCTAGACACCCAGTGGGTGATTTCACATGCTTTACGGGATGGCTTTTTGTGTGATTGACAGAGCAGGGAATTTTTAGCCCATTTACAACGAGGTGTAGGAATAGAACAGCTTGGCACAGGCAGGGTTGAGGATCCTTTCTGAAAAACTGTGACTGACTTATCTAAGACCCATGCTGCTTCACAGTAGCATTTTGAAAACACGAGAAATCTCCTTGCAGTGTTTCCAGGGGTGATGTCACTAGATCCCGGTCAGACGCCACTCCATTACATAAAGCTGGTAGCTCAGATGACACACATCCCTGTCCAGGCTGCCTTTGGGCGGGTCGGCTGGCTGGGAGAAAACAACACGCCTCAACGTGACAGTCCCCACATTCTGCAGACTTAAAAGGGAAATCCTCTGGAATCTGACTGGGCTCCTGGGGCTCAGCCTGGCCTTGCCCTGAGGCTACAAGAGAGTGAAAACATGGAAAGGGCTGCGTGTTGCTGTCACCGGTTCTTCGGGTGATCAGAGACCTTTCAGTCCTGCAAGGATTTCACTGCCTCAGCGTCTTTGTTCCTTCACATCCCCTCATTGTCTCCGCTGGTGATGCCACAGAACCTAGGACGGCCTTTCTCTACTCCTCCTCCCTCACACACCCCTCACTGCTACCTACTTCCACTTTGTATGGTACATTTCAGCAGAATTTACCTGAATTTGCTTCTTTACCCCCACAATCACTCAAAAGTTTGCCCCCAATATTGCTACTCCTTTAAAAGAGTCACTTCTTGTTCCTTTGCCCTCCATTCTCTCACGTTCTTCTCGTGCTTTCTTAGATTTTCATTTTCATCTTCCTTCCCATTCTACAAAGGCAGGATATAGAGGAAGGCCAGCAGAGGGCAAAGAGCACAAGAGCTGCACCAGGAGACAGATGAGCATTTTGGTTTTTGCCACTAAGATGTGCGACCTTGGACAAACCATACAGACCCTTCTCTGGGTGTCACTTTTCTTATCTGTAGATGGGCCACCCATGCCAGAAACCCATGTGTTGTGTCAGTATTGGTGCCATCGGGAATGCAAAGAATAAGACATTGGGAATGTAAACCTACTGAAACATAATATCTTTATGTTCTCTCTGATACACGCTTGGGTAGATGGATGGATGGATGGATGGATGGCTGGCTGGCTGGATAGATAGATAGATAGATAGATAGATAGATAGATAGATAGATAGATAGATAG